CACTCTTGCCTTTTGGATTTTCTTTTCCCCCATCTTTATTGTGCAGAGATTTCCTGGCTTAACTTGATTACCCTCACTACCAACCAGCTCTGTCCTCAGAGAGCTTAAACTGAGTTGTCCAGTTCCATGACCTGTCCCGTTGCTCTTTGAAAGGGAATAAACCATGAAATAGAAATGAGTTGTTTTCCACTGTGATCCTGACACCTTCCTTCATGTCCTTGCTTCTGCTGGGAGGTGTCCTTCCCCATGGCAGGGGAGGAGGGCTTGGAACTAGGTGATGTGCAAGGTCCCTTCCAACCCAAACCATCCTGTGATTCTGTGCACTCCTTACCATATTTCTGAGTCAGCAGAGTAAGCCGGGGTGCTTGGGGCTGTGCTGCACGTGGGCAGAAGTTCCTGCCAGTCAGTAGCAGCTGGTGGAACTGGAAGCATCACCAGGGAGGCAGTGGGAAAGGCACCTCTGCAACCCATGGTTCCTGGGTCTGTCATCAGGCAGTGCCACACGCTCCTCTGCTAATTGGCTGAGATGCTTTAATGAGAACCTCTAGCTCCTTCTGGTAGTGTCCTTTTGTGTTTCTCTTTGGGAAGATTGATCTGTGGGGTGGAAGGAACTGAGAAGTCAGTGTCAGGCTGTGAGAGCAGGAACTTGAGGACACTTTCCTGTGGTCTTCAGGCAGGCTGAACTACAGAAGCTAATTGGGCAGAGATGCAAACGTGGAACTGGGGGAGTAAGTAGGAAAGCATGAGACTGGGAAAGGTTGGGGCTCAAGAGAGAAGATACAAGGTAAGGATGACTGAAGAATCTCACATGGGTAAATGGGTTCTGTCTTTTTGACACTTGTAGGGTCCTGTTCCTGTCTTGACACAAGACACTTAAGCTCCCAGCCTGTTCTAGTACCATTGGAATAAATTGTGGCCTGCATTAGACTGTGGCTTTAAAATGCTAGCTTTAGTACTTCTGTCAGGATCAGCTCAAATCATACATTTTCATGAGGTCAAGATACTCTCTGGGTGTCTGTTTGTTTCTAATAACAGTTTCAATATTATTTCTCATAGTTACTGAAGAAGAAATTGTGCTCCCCCGAAAGAAAACCTGGTGAGTGCTTACTGCTGGGATGTCTCTCAACCTGGAATAAAATCATTGTTAGACAGCTAAATGTAGTGTGTCCACCAAAGCTGAAAAAAAAATATTGGGTTGCTGTGTTCCTGGATTTAATGTCCCACTAGTGGCTCTTCTACTGACTGGAAGCCCTTGGAAATATCATTGACTCCTGCTCTCTGTGCAGAGCATGTACACTGTTCCCAACCTTTCTTTTAAAAGCAGCTATAAGCACTGCATTTTTAAGCATAGTTTTGTGTCTTTGTAAAGGACTACATGCACTAGAAATCCATAAAATCAGCTTCATGTGGCTGTCTGCATGTGGGTGTGTAACCCAAAGCAAACTTAACCATTGATAGCTGGCTGAATAATTTAATGATAAATCTATTTTGTTTGTTTGTTTTTCCCCGTGAGACTTGTCTTGGACTCATTTATCCATCCCTTAGAGATAGGGCACTCTAAGAAGGGCATTCCAGGGAACTCCTGTGCCCCTTCCCTACGTTCTTTCTTTGGTAACGTATAATAAGGGCAGGAGTGGTAGTAAGAAATGCACCTTCCTTTCTGGTTCTCCTCAAAGTCTTTTCTTTTTTCTCTGCTTGTTCTAAAACTGAGATCGTTCTTGCAGCTGAATTACACATAACACAGTGTTATGCATAACGTTCAAAGTCTGCAGCTGAGGATTAATCAAAGCTCCTTTATGTTTAGGGATAAGCTAGCTGTTCTTCAGACGTTGGCTTCTACTGTGAAAAGGGTAAGTGGTTCTGCTGGTGGTGGAAGTGGGTTCAGTTGTCCGTCTCATGCAATAACCGTGCACTCCGGAGCCCCTTACTTCTGCTTGGGCCATAAATGCAAGATGGGGCTTTTCCATCTGTTTTTTTACAGGGTTTTCACTTTCATTCAACACATTTTGCTGTGTCCATAAAGAGTTGTTCTAGTGCTAAGAGAAAGCTGCAGCTGCCAGTGAAAGCTGTAATACTTTGATGAGGCTTTTGCTAATGTCAGGAGTGAGTTCCTCTACCAGCTCAGCTTCCCAATCCAGGCTTTCTCTTTCCAACCACAGGCCAGAAATCAGGCCTTGCAAAGAGCCCTGGGTGTCTGTTCTTGCTAGGCAGCAGCTGCAAATGCTGTGATGCCATTCTTTAATCTTGTCTTGAGTTCTGGAAGTTTAATCTGACCCTGGAAGTCTGCTCAGCTCCCCTGAGACTTACAGTTGGGGTCCTACTTGCTTCGCAGGGCACTTGTTTCTTGCCGTGTTACAGTGAGGACCTTTTTGTTGTCAGTGTGTTAGCCTGCATGCATGTGGATAATGGGAATGCTTCTTAAACTGTTTCTGAACACACTGAACCCTTTTGAGCACGAGGAGCTTCTGTAAAGCAGACATCAGGTGGTGGTTACGTCGGAGCTGTGGATTGTGCCTTAAATTCCATGAGGCAATGTGACATGTCTACAGTGTGCTTGTGTACATAACTATAAACGTTTCAATCCTGGATTCTCCTTTCTACAGGATCCTACTGCTGCTCACTATATGTTCCAGGATGACCCTTTTCTTATTCCAAGAAATGCAGCCAGTTTTGTAAGTATTTGCTTTGAAATCCTTTGGTAGCCTATGCACTCCTTCACCTACACTGTGAAAACTCTAAGTGGAGCCTAGTTGCAATTACAAAATAAAATGAAGTATCAGATTTCTTTCAAGATTTTCTCCCATGTATTTCTGAATGCATAATGACTGTAGCAGTTCTGTGGACAAATCCCCCCTGCACACACAGGTCACCTCTTCATCCTGCCCCTGTAGGCACCTTGCAGCTGACCCAGCTTGGTAACAGCCCTGCACGACAGTGGCTTCCCTGCTGAGTTGTTCTGCTGCTTCGTGTTCTCAGTCTGTTAATTAACTCCCCACAGTAATTCAGCCTGTTAAACCTGTGCTTATATCCCTTGGATGTAGACTGTGAGTATGAGGTATTGCAAGTGTTGAGATTTTGTGCTAGCAGTTTAAATTGAGTTAAATGAATGAATTCAGACACACGAGGTCACTTGTGTGCCTGTTACTCCACAGACTATGTGTTATCAGTTAAGTGTCCTGGCCAAGCTCCAGGAATTCTGATTGTATCCCAGAGCAGCTATTGGGTAACTTAGGCTTATGGAAGTAGTAGTACTGAGATGATAAGGAGAGAAAATAAAAAGGAAAAAGAAGAGTCTTCCCTCAATGCGATCTTTGCAGAAGATGAAAGAGCATCTTTCTTGTCTCTTGTCTGTTTTATTAAGAGTTGAAAAAGAAGTATGAGTTTGATACCATCAGAATGCTTACTGTGATGGAAAATGTTTTTCTTCACTTTCAGCCTTTTAATTGCATGTTTCTTCATCTTGTTCTCTCTCATTCCTATGCAGCGTCTGTTTTCATTGTCGAAGGAGTCTGGGAGAAATGCTGCAAAATTCATTATTAAGCAATTTCCTCAGTATTTTGACAAGACTTTTTCAGAGCCCAACATACCAGTAAGCTTTTTGCTTTTCTTTTTACTTACGTTTGTGCTTTTTCAGGTAATGAAATCAACTGTCAGACTGGTCCAAAACTAACATAAGAGGATAATTTTATTAACTGTTTTGCAGACAGCTCTGAAACTGGTGCTCTATTTCAATTATGTTTCTAAAGTGAACATTTTTCTTTAGGAGTGCAGTAGCATATCGTGTTCTTTAGATAAAAGAAAGGAAAGAAATGTACTGACATGGAAGTTGAAGATTGGGGTGTGTGGTTCTTCATCATCAGAAGGACTGCTGCTGTTAGGCTGGGAGGGTCAGGAGATTATCTAAGCAGTGTACTGAGTGAAGGGTATGGATATTTGGTTAGTGTTTTAGTGATGGTTTAGAGAAGTGGGAGCTCATGTCTAACTTCCACTGTTTGCTTTTAGTGCTTGATGCCTGAGACTCTTACACCTCAGATTGAAGGAGTGAGTGAGGAAGCTCTGAAGGAGCGTATCCACCTCAGAATGGTGAAAGAATCTGTGGACCTGTTTGATCAGCTCCTACAAGCAGGTATGTGGTCACCTGCCTGATACTGTGGGGGAGTTCTACTTAAATTGTGGCAAAAATATCTTAGTAGCTGGCAGGGGTTACAGAGACAGTATCATGACTATGTTGCTGCCTTTCACAACTGACTCTGGTCTGGTGAAGTGGTTCTGCAGAATCACTGGGCCCTCCTTATCCACTGCTTGTCTGGCATGTCACTTTGAACAAATGATTTCCTGCTCAAGAAGCAGATGATGATGATGAGGTTTTTTTCTTCTTTTCCAAAGTGGAAGGATTTGTGTTGCAGCAGAGTGGGGCCTGGTGTGGGCAGATGCTGTGTGTGATTGGGTGATGCCATTCTGCCCACCAAGGCCCTCGTGCAGCAGCATATTGGTTGGTATCAGCTACATCTGTGCTGAGCACTTTGCTGCTGTATTGGACTGGTATAGCATGCCAGCTGAGTGCCCCTTCTATGGATCTCCCCTCAATAACTGAGTCTTTCTCAGTTCTTCCTTCATCATAGAATCATTTTGTTTGGGAGAGACATTTAAGATCATCAAGTTCAACTGTTAACCCAGCTGTTAACTGCCAGGCCACCACTAAACCACATCCTTGATTTAGACTTTATCTGTGTCATGGGTGAATGAGAGGGAGGCAGCAACAGCAAAGTGTAACTGCCACAGCATCTGAAGGAGGAAAACTTACTGGGAAGGTGAGACCTTCTCATGTCCACTAGAAGGTGGAAGGGAGATGATTCAGTCAAGCTGTGCTTTTCTTTGGTTGCTTTCACATTGGTTTCACAGAAAGTGGAACACACAGAGTGGTCTTCGCAGCAGGGTGTGTCATAGAAGGAGTCTGGAAGAGCACTGGAAATTTCAGATGTAGTGTTGGGCTTGTGCAACTTCACAGTTTTGGCTGCCAGCTGCCACTTGGTCAGGCAAAAATCTACCCTTTTGGTTGCTTGGATAGAAAAACAGATACTCCAGCATTAACATTGTCTCCTGCTGTAAATGGGTTCGTGGAGGTATTAGTGTCATACCCAGGTTTTACTGACTTGCTAGAGAAGGTCTTTGTGTTCAGAGACAACACAGTGCCATAACTGGATGGAGAGTTTCCTGGTGCAGCTGCAGAATGGTGTGTTCTTTACTGTCTCCAAGACTGTTGTACATCTTCATTTTTTGTAGGTAGCCCTGTGTCTCTGGAGACAACAAACAGCCTTTTAGATCTGTTATGCTTCTATGGAGATGGAGAGCCTACTCCAGAAAAACAGGAAGAAGAAAAACAGGATCTGGAAGAAACAGAGGTAGGAAAAAAAACCTGTTGACCTCTAATTTTTTAACTTCATACGTACTGGTAGTGTATCAAGGTGATGTCAGGGTTTTTGTACTGTGATGACCTACCTGGAAGATGGTGGGAGATGGGTCAGGTGCAGTCAGTACTCCCTAGAGAGATGTCAGTTACAACAATCCTGTGTCTGACCTACTAGCAAAGCAAGCTGCCTTAAAGCTGAACTTGGCAGCTGGAACCCTGTCGTGGCTTAGTTCTGCTAACTGTGTTTAAATTACTCTTTCTCACTGTCAGCCTTGTTTTAGAACTGCCTGCAAAGAAGAACTCTAGAAGCTCTAATGTAAAATTAGCTAGTTCATTTTCTTCCAGTCTGAACCATAATAAGGAGATTTCAATGATGTTGAGGACTCCTTGTGTGACCTCAGGGTATGAGGTCCCAGGGGACAGCAGCAGACATGTTGTGTAATGTTTGTCCCTGAGGAGACTGTTGAGGGAGAAAGGATTTTACAGAGTATTTGCTATGGTCTAACAATTCCCACCAACTCCACAAATACATATAATTTGCCTTGTTAGCATGTATAATAACATAAATAGTATCCTTAATCCAGTTATTGCTTCCTGAACATTATGATATAAATTACTTTAATGTAACTCATTAAAAACCACCTTTGGTAGCATATAAATAGTTCTTGAACTCCTGTTGTTACCAAATCACTTCATTTGATATTTACCCGTAACTTTGGGCTTTGAGAAACTTATTTCTGCACAAATCTCTCCAGGTGAATGCTTCAGAGCAGAAGGCTCCAAAGAGACAAGTCCAAAGAGGTTTACAGGCAGCTGGCTCTAGGTGGAGGTATGGAGAATGTTGCCATTTTTATTCCCACATGGAGTGCATTGTACACATGCCTTGTTGTTATAACACAGACTTTAAGACTTTTTAGAAGCCCATCCTTGCAGGTGTTACAGGTTAGGTACACCTGGGTTTGCTATAACTTTAAATTGGATGGAAGTCCAGTAAGTGATGGTAGAACAGCTCAGAGTATCCCAACTGACAGATTTGAATGTCAGCCCTTAGGAGTGCAGCCCATCTTGTTCTGCACGTTGAGTCCTTTTCTTAAACAAATCTTTTATTAAGTTCTTTAACACTCAGCTTGTTCCTTGATCCCAGGGAGAACAACAATGCTGAAAGGATATTTAAGATAATGCCAGAGAGGAATGCACACTCCTACTGCACAATGATCCGTGGGATGGTGAAGGTACAGTTGCCCTTCGGTGCCGGGAGGGCTCTTTTCAGCTTGGGAAATCTCACGCAGTCATGGAGACTGAGGTTTTCATTGCATTTCTCGTTTCTTTCTGCAGCACGGTGCTCCTGCTAAAGCGCATGACATGTACATAGAGTTGCTGAATGAGAGACACAAGGGTAAGTTGGCTCCTGGGTTTCGGTGTGGCCTGCCAGGTGGCTGGAGCGCCGTGGGGTAGGCGGGTGTCCCATGGCGGTGATGATTGGCGCAGGGGTACGGACCTCAGCTGCGTGATGGGAGCTGAGTGCGGGCTGGTCGTGCCGGTGCAGCTGGCGTGGGGCTGGCTCACTGGCAGCAGCCCTGCACGAGACTTCGCCAGAGACTGAGCCATGGTGCAGCGAGCTGTTTGCTCTGGAGTATAGCTGTCAGATGTAATGAATGATCTCACGTTTTGCAGCTGATGTGCACACCTTCAATGCACTGATTACAGCAATCCCCTATCTAAAGGAGAGGTTCCTCGAAAGGTGGGAATTGGCCAAGGTAAGGAGGCAGAGCAGTAGAGGTGGGGAAGGAGTGAGAGTGTAGGGAGTGGGTCTGCTTTATCAGTACCATTTTGCAGTTAGAAGACTGGAAATGAGCTTTGGGCAAAGGTGCTAATATCTGCTGCAAAGGGACTACATGGGTTTAAACCCACAAACTATTGAGGAGTGGGAAGTGTTGAAAATCCAACCTTGCCCTTGCAGAAGGGATTGCCTTGTGAGAATGTACCTGATCCAAGAACTGCCCAGATCAGAAAGTCATTGGAAAATTATGCTGGGAGATAAAGAAACAATTTTAAATAAAAATGTTTTGCAGAAATTATGCTGGGAGATAAACAATTTTAAATAAAAATGTTTTGCATTGTATTTCATGGTGGTGTGATAAACATGGAATTTCACGGGGAAACATTAGAGGTTCTAGTTCTAGTGACATAACGTCAGTAAGGGAAAATGGTGTGTAAATTAAAAAGCTTCCTTTATGTTCTGGACACAATTCTCTGAGATCTAATATGATGTAATTTTGTAGTCTTTTTTTTTTTTTTCCAAATAATTAAAGATTGGATAGTACTCCCTTAATAAGTTAAGGTAGAGTTGTGTACTTGAAGGGGGTGAGAAGGGTTAGATTGAGGAAACACAGCTGAACTGTGCACCCTCACGTGTGATCAACTAAGGGTCTGTGGTTTTTGTTTAAGGTCTTCCTGAATCACATGGCTCAGCAGGATGTCCAACCAAATCTGCTCACTTTTAATGCTTTACTGAAGACTCTGAGAAGATGTGGTGGTGTGGGCAGAAACACGGCTATATCAGTCATAAAGGAGATGGAAGCACTTGGTATAGGTAAGAAAACCAGAATGGTTACTACCTTCCAGTGCCACCTCCAGCACAGCTAACTTCAGAGTTCCTCAGCAAACACCACAGTGATTCCTAGTTGCAGGGATGGAGTCCAGGGCTTGTGGGAAAAAGCAGCACTGTGTCCTCCACTTCACTATTTGTTTCCTTTCACAAGAGGCCCAAGAGGTAAGAACATGTGAGGACTGAGCTGTGGCCACTCAGCAGGGCAGTACCTGTGGATTTCAAATGGAATTTTCAGTCTTTTTCAACATTGATTACTAATAGAGTGGATGCACTTGGCCCCTTAGGTCAGGTCTATGTCAAACGTTGCAAAAGCAGGGAACATCCACACAACTGATTTGGTGTCTTTGGAGTGTGCTTTGCCCCAGTAGCATGCTTGTTGATAGGCTAAGGATGTGTTTCTGTGCAGGGGGGAAACTACCTATGAAATACTTTTGCTTTTAATTTAGAGCAGGGAAGCCTGGCTGCTCACTCCATAGCAGTGAGCTGCTTCAGCTGGTGGCCCACCCTTGGATGTCATCTTTCCCAGTTGTAATGTGTGTATGTGAGGCCTGGTTCAGCATTAGGATGGGCAGGGAGAGAAATTAGAGCAACTTCACACATACTGCCTGACTAAAAGGACTGGAGACTGTGAATTAAAGCTGAGGCATAAAACTCGGCCAAGAATGTCAAAGTAACTTCAATGTTTTTGCTTTTCAGAGCCCAGCCTGGCAACGTATGACCATCTTCTCTCTATATTTTATAGAGGTGGTATGTGCAATTTCAGCTTGTTCCTGAATGTGTCCTGTTCAACGTCTGCTTGAAATGTTTTCCAAATGTGATGGGTGAAGGCAGTTGATTTATGGGTTAAAAGACAACCTTCTGTGTGCAGTCCTAGTGTTACCTGTGCAGTCTGGTTCTGCTCAGGTGAAGAAAAAGCAACAGAGGATCTTAATGTCTCACAGGGAGGGAAAGTCCTTGTGTTTGGAGAACGGGCAGAACTGGAAAGGAAGCCCATTTCCTTTCCATTTGTGGCCACAGGTTGATAAAGCTGAAGAGTAAACACTACTCAGCCTCTGTGTCCCTTCTTACAACACATCTGATGGCACAGACCATGCCACCCAGGGAAGAAATGCCACAGGGATTCTGTTTTTCTGAAACAGCTCTGTACATGGGAGCTGTCCTGAAACATAACTGTGTTACAAAGCAGGAACCCAACTGTTGGAGATTCCCTAGCCAAAAATCTGCAGGCATGGGAAGAGAATAGGCATGGTAGTTGTAGCTGCAGTCCCTGTGTTTTAACAAATGTGGAGGAACTGGTCTGAAGTCTTTCTGGGTTTGGTGGTTGGGGTTTTGTTTATTTGTGTTTGTTTTTTTTCCCCCGTTTAGTTTTTTTGTTTTGTTTATGAACAAAGCAATGCCTTGCTTTTCCAACTGGCCTTCTAACAGCCAGGCTTCTATGCCTGTTGGATTCCTTGCTAGAAAGTAATTCTGTCTTTCTGAATCTGCTTTGATGTGCTGTGCAAATCTGGCCATAGGAGAGCAAACAAAATTGCAGCTGGTGTGGAGCACCAGGAAAATCATGACACTTGTTTGAAATCATGTTACTTGTTTCCATTTCCATATTATATTTGCAGGCTGATGCTCTTCACTAATGAAGTGCTTAGCACAACTGAGATCTGCTGTTCCTTGTCTGTTTGTCCCACAGTTGATCTTCACTCATCAGGCATCATCTCAGAGGTACTCAATGATGTTGAGAAGAGGAATTTCACGCCCCAGGACCCTGATGATGGTAAGGATTTCAAAATATCTGACAGTCTGCATTGGTTAAGCTTAGGTAAAAAGGTACTTATGGATTTCAGGCAGTTCAATTCAGCTAGGAAGAATGCATGCAGCTTGCTTTTATCAGTCCCTTCTGATACTTTTTGGAGACCAAGTTGAAATTCCAGTGCCAGGAAGCTGTGCTGGGCATTGGTGTGCTGGCTTCTGTGTGGACGAAGTATAGCCCTTGGGAATGAGTGTTTGAGCCCCACACAGTTAAAACCACAAGGCTATTTGCAAGACTGGTTTATGGAGGAACATCTGTGAGCAGCTTCATTAAATGATACCCATCTGGTGAAAAGCAGGTTTTTGTTGTAATGTGGTGTCAGTTCCTATTCTAGTTCTTCCTAATCCTTTTAAGACAATTGCATGAAATAAAACTTCATGCAGAACTGAAGTTTGGTTCTGGAGAAGGGGCAGGTTCTGGACATCCCACGTCTCACTGGCTCGTTCTGCCATCTGTGTGTCCTCAGCATGGCACTGGGATGTTCCTGGCCTTAAGCAGATGCAGCTTGAATCTGAAGACAGGCATGAGAGAGGGGTCTGTAGCTGTGCTGTGTACAGGGTGGTGTTGGCCAAGGGTCAGAAGCCACCCACCAGCAGCTGATGGTTCTAGAGGTGACAAGGCCTGGAAATAGGGTTGTACACCTTTTTTATTTGCCTGTGCCCTGTCACGTGTGTGGCACCAGTCTGGCTCTGAGCTGCTGCCAGAAGTGTGGACAGTGACTTTACCTGCTCTGCTCCTTCACACTCTTCATAGAAATAGCACAGGCAGCAGTGATGGGCACACAGATACAGGCTGTGCCTGGATCATGGGAGCTGAGTCAGCTTTTCTAGACAGTGGTTTAAAAAAAAGAGAAAGAGAGAGATTGCTCACATAAGACTAGATAGAAGCCACTTTGTTTAACCAAGATGTGTATGTAGACATCTTCTGCTCTTCTTCAGAGTGAGATCCTTATGCTCTTTTGGTAATTGCTTCTGCAGAATTCAGGTTGACATTGGAACAAAACTGAGGCCTCTCCTTCCTTAGTGTGGTGGTGTGTATGAACTGACCCTTCCTTCAGAAACCTCTGTTCCCTGCAAGGCCTTTTCTTGGCCCAGAGAATTTTGTAGGCTGTAGCTGAAGTGCATACAGAACACCCAAATTATATAAAAAATATTTTTCTAACTTAAGAGTATTCAGTTAATCAGTTCAAGTCTTGCAAGGGAAAAGGGGATGTATTGTACTTAGTGGTTTTAAGTAAACTGCCTTACAGTTCTTCCCACCATTTTGCCACGCACAGCTAGCCATATATCAGTCTCTGAGGCATCCAGTGCCCTCACATTTCCTTCAAAAACCAAAACCACCTATCCAGAATTCTCACCACACCAAAGAAAGGAGCTGCTGAGCAGGATAGTTTGCCCTTCATCCCACTGTGGCTTTCTTTGCCTCCCTGAGACACCATCAGTCTCTGTGCCCAGTCTGTCTCCCAGAGCACAGCAGTACAGTTGCCTCCAAAGCACTGGCTAGCAAAACTCACACCACACCAAACTCTACATGCAAAATGAAGATCCCTGCTACGTTGTCAAACTGAGCCAGGGGTTCAGTGTTCTCATTGGATGTGTCTGGCCTGTGGGAGGCTGGGCTCATGAGCTGCTCTCTGTCTCCTTGAAAGTTTGAAGCTAACAGACTCCATTTTCTCCCTTTCAGCCAACTTTTTTGTCACTGCTATGCAAGTGGTAAGTGCCTCTTCCCTGCAGCCAGAATTCCTTTGAGCCCTCCAGCTGTTTCAGAGTTGCCTCTTAGTTTTCCAGCCTGTCATACAAGCTCTAGCTCTCAGTATCTTTCCTTTTTCCCCCTGTGTTCATCTCTGCCTCTAAATTTCCTCTCTCCATAATTCTGCAGCCCATTGCTCAATGCCTCCTGAGCTGGTAGCTTGCATGCCTGTGATACCTCTCATGCATGCCTCTTGCTAGGGCTGGCTGCATGTGCCCCACCTCCTGCTTCCAGTGGCACTGCCATGACCAGACAGTCTCCACACCAGTTAGGTTGGAAGGCTCTCACCCACTGGGAGAACTCCCAGAATCACAGAATGGTAGAGGTGGGAAGGGACCTCTGGAGATCATCTCATCCAACCCCCCTGCCAAAGCAGGGTCACCCAGAGCAGGTTGCACAGGATGGCATCCAGGTGTTGAAAGTCTGCAGAGAAGGAGACCCCACAACCTCTCTGGGAAGCCTGGTCCTGTGCTCTGTCACACTCACAGGAAGGAGGTTTTTCCTCAGATGGAACTTCCTGCGTTCCAGTTTGTGTCCATTACCCCTTGTCCTGCACCACTGACAAGAGTCTGGCCCCATCCTCCTGACCCTCACCCTTTAGGTATTGATCAGCATTGATCAGATCCCTTCTCAGTCTTCTCTGCAGGCTAAACAGCCCCAGGTCTCTCAGCCTTCCCTCCTAAGAGAGATGCTCCAGTCCCCTCAGCATCTCTGTAGCCTCCACTGGGCTCTCTCCACTATTTCCCTGAATCTCTTGAACTGGGGAGCCCACAGCTGGACACAGGAATCCAGCTGCTGGCCCCCCCAGGGCAGAGTAGAGGGGGAGAAGAACCTCCCTCAAACTGCTGGTCACATTCTTCTGAACACACCTGTCTCAACAAAATGCCTGGGCAGTCCCTGCACTGAACTGCACCCTGTCAAAACTGTGCTGTCAGCCCATTACTCTGCATACCTGTGTGACAGTGAGTCTCAGAGGGATGTATTAAATGTTGTGTCTGGTAGCTTTAAAATCCAAGTGGTGTGTTGCAGTGCTGTGACCTGAAGGATATCAAGCTCGCTTATCAGTTAAATAAGGCAATGGAGAAGGGAGACAACTGGAAGTTCTTGGACGTGGATCGGTTAAATGTCTACTGGTGAGTGAAGTGCAGCTTACCTTCAGTGCCTTGTGTGCTCTCAGTTTGCATCCAAGCTAGGAGTCAAACACTGCCCAGGAGGACTTGTTGGACACCAGAAGGGTGCACAGGTCAGACCCAGCTCTCTGCATGGTGTTGCAGAGAGAGGTGTGGTGCAGCAGGTGTATTTTGGCACAGCACTCTCATGTAGCTCCACCACTTGCCACTCTAATCCTACACTGAAGCATCTTTAGCAACATCAGGCAGTGATTGGAGCACACTTGTTTGAAGGAAAGTGTTCAGGTGTTGGGACTGGAGATGCTCCAGTAAATTAATGAAAAATAATTATCAAAATCAGGTATTGTTTCAGGGCTGGGATGTTTCATATGTTTTTACCTTATATAGTCTGTAAATAGATCAAGGGAAATGAATGGAAATGAATTTCTTGGTGTAGGGATGTTTTCCCTAGTCAGTGTGTTGGCTCAAGGTCCCAGGCTGGTGCTGTGAACTTCACAAGGAACAGGGTTAATTCAGCCCACCTCTTACAGGGGTTCTTAACCAGAGGTTGCATTTGAGACAGGTTCAGATACCTCAGACCTGGTGCTGGGCAGAGAGATTGCAGTTTTTTTGAGATTCTGAAATGCAGTGGTCTAACTTCTGATCAGCTCTGCCAGTTACCTGCCACCATTAAGTTCTCTCATAAAAAATGCTATTGCTTTTTTAATCGTGTGGAGTGTTGCCATCACACAGTGAAGTATCCCTGTTTGCAGTGCAAACCTGATCAGAGCACTGTCATTTGCTGGTGATTCTGTATGGTTTGTTTGGTTTAATTACTGAATTAGAATATTTCCCCCTCCTCTAGGTCAAGATTCTTCTCCTTGTTGTGTATGATGGAGCAAATTGACGTGGTGTTGAAATGGTACAAAGAAATGTCCCCTTCAGTAAGTGCATAAGCAAGCTGTAAAGCTTTAGGGTGGAGAAACTGAACAGTTATAGTTTACTAACACGATTCTCTTCCTTCATCAGCTCTTCTATCCAACCCCTAAAAATATATTGGACCTCCTTCAAGCCCTGGATGCAGCCAACCACTTGGAAATGATCCCTTCAGTCTGGGAAGGTTTGTGATAGCCACACACCTGGTAGGCAGTTGGTTAGGTGAAGCTGGTCAGGAGCAGTGCAAGGTGGGAGGTAGCTGGGAAGCTTCCCAGTGCTGGGAAGAGCCATGACGCCGTGCTTTGGTGTGAGGGAGGTTATTCCTTAGAGCAGGAGTGGGGCTGCTGTGTTGGAGAAGGGGTGTTTCTAATCACCCTCTGCAGATCAAGCCAAATCTTAATACTCGGTGTGCTTTAGCAACATAAAAAGCATCATCTAGTCTCAAAAAACGTATAAAAGAGCATGGTCAACACTCAGCCCTTGGAGGAAGCAGGTGGTGGTGGAGGTGTCCCTGGCCACCAGAGGGTCATGGATCTCACTGTCCAGCAGCAGTTCAGGTCCTGCTTTCCACTGAGGACTTGTAGCTGCTTGATTTTATAGGTAATGCTCTGTGTGCTGTTACCTTCCTTGCCCTGTGCTGGGGTTGTCACCACCACTGGGCTGGCCAAGTGTCAGACCTTGAAGGCCATTAATGAGGGGAGTAGTTGTGCTGGCACCCTGGAATCTTGAGGCCAGCAGGGAGGGGAAGAAGAAATCTGTTTGATTTGTGTACTTGGTGCACAGGACCTTCAGGGCCTGGTACTGAGAGGAAATGGGACTAACATGTGACCTGCTTGGTCACAGAGAACAGCTCTTTGCCTTGGAAAATGGTGTTGGTGAAGCTGACCACACTACCAGGAGCTGGGAGCTACACCTGCTGACTGCTGCTTTCTCTGCACAGATATGAAACAGCTGGGGTTCAGCAAAAAAAAGCTCTTGGCTTTGATGAGCAGGGAGCAGCACCCTGAAGAGGTAAGGCATGTGTCAGGGTTTAACCCTTGATAAATGGCACAGCTGCTCACTCACCCCTCCCCTGTGGGGTGGGGGAGAGAACTGAAATGGTAGAAGTGCAAAAACTTGGGGGCTGAGATAAAAGAGTTTACTGGGTAAAGCAAAACTTGTGTGCTCAGCAATAACAAAAACAGTCCTCAGCTATCAACAGTTTTCAGCACAAATGCAAAATCTAGCACCATGCAAGCTACTGTGAGAAAATTTAACTCTATCCCAGCCAAAACCAGTATTGCATCTCAGGGAAAAGAGTAGAGGTGTCTGCCCATTTCTGTGCTGGGCCCCCAGACTGCCTTTAAGGGCTGTCCCTGGTCAGTCCTGAGGCCCAGTTCCAGTGCACATGACATGACTGGTTTCCAGCTCTACGTGAGCTTATCCAGGCCTGCTAAGCCCTTTGGATTGTCTCCAACCTAGAGAGAAGACTCAGATCAACCCAGGAGAGGATCATTTCCCTAGCAGGGTTTGGAAGAGTAATCCAGCCCAGCCGGCCACACCTCTGGGGAAGCACATGGCAGAATCCAGGGGTTTTGCCAAAGATTTCATCACAGTAGCTGGCTTCTCAAGCTGAGGAGGCTTAGGTGTACTGCTGAGGTCTCCAAGGACAGCTGTCCCTGCCTTGCAGCCTGCCTGCTGGGGACAATTGTCCTGCCAGAAGTGACAGGTTTTCCTGCCAGGAGTAACAGCTGTTAACTGGCAGATTCAGATCACATACTGGGCAGAGCAGTAGGATCTGGAGGAGGAATCACACTGATGAGGGTCTGTTCTGCAGGTCTGATGGCAGAGTCTTTTCACAGGTTCAGCTGGTGTTTGCCAGGTGTGCTGAGGACATCAGGGCAGTCCAGGAGCAAACGAGGCGGGAGCAGGCGGCGCTGGACTGGAGCAGCAGCATGCTGGGCTCTGTCGTGCTCCTCTTCTCCAGGGCTGGGAGGACCCAGGACGCCTGGTACGTGTGGGGCTCTCCCCAGCTCTTGGCTTCCTGGGGGTGCCACTCGGGGCTTGGTCACAGAAACCAAAAGGCTAACGACAGACTGCCTTGCAACTGAGTGCAGCTGCTGGCGAGGCAGGGTTGGGTTGGGTGATCACTAAATGTTGCTCCCCCCTACAGCTTCCCAGTTTCTAATCTTTAAAACTCTTTAACTTTTCTCTCTAGCAGTTTGAATTCCACAGTTTAATTGAGGTTTTAATTAGAATTAACCCTAATCAAAATTCTAGAGAGACTATTTTTAGAACTGTCCGGTAGCTGGAATCTACTGTCCTACACGCTCTCTACTTGAAATATCTAGCCTCTAATTTAAGGTTCTGAGCTATCTTCTGTTAAATACAGATGTTCTCTTTGCCCTAATTCATACAAAACAAAGACATGGCAAGTACCCCTCTAAAAATATGTAATATTTTAAAGTTGCCAGCAGCTACACTCTTTATTCTTTTCTGAACTAGTTAAACATTTTGTGTTAATCAATGTTGTTAGCTGGTACAATGGCAATCATAAGAACACAGCATGGGGTCTGTTTCAGATCTGTGGGGAAAATCATTTCATGAAATTGAGCTTGCCTGTGTTTCAGCAGGGGCTTGTCCAAGGGATCTAATATCTGTCTCCTTTGTTCTGTGGTGTGTTTTTTTTTAATTATTACTTTGTTTTCTTTCAAACAGGACCATGATGGAACGTTTCCAGCAAATCAGCAGGATTCCCACGTGAGTACTTTCATGCTCTGACTTCAGGTACAGAGTCTCCCCTTTGGCTGAGATCTTGCTTTTCTACAGAACTGTGGAATAGTTTGGGTTGGAAAGAACCTCTCCATGTCCTCTAGTCCAGCCCCCAGTTAAACTGTAGTAGTGGCCTGTATCTTACTGTTACTCCCAAAGCATGAGTGTGTCTGTCCCTGTGCACACGGGTGTGTGTTTATCCAACTGATACATTCCGAGATCTTTCCATCTCAAAAAATGTTGAAAATGCCAAGCAGGGGATGTTTAAGTGGTTGATCCTCAAGCTGTGGTTGCGTGAAGCCTGGGGGATGTGGAGAACAGTGCCACTGCTGAACTCAGCATTAGAAATCAGTCTGAGAAGGGCTCTAGAGAAGATTTTGTTTCCCCATGTGCTCAGACTCCAGTATGCTGTTAACCAGGCTTAAGTGCTTCAGACGTGTCTGCATTTCTGAAGACAAGGTTACAAAATCAAATCCTGACTCTTATGTGGTACCTTGTTAGGCTACAACAGCTAGCTTTTTTCAGGATTTTTTTTGAAAAATTCTGTTCAAAGTAGAAAACAACTTCTAAGGAATAGGAATGTGTTTGGTTTGGGGCCTTTTGAAATAAAATTAAATGCGTGGAGCTCTTGTGAGTGAATATGGTGAAGGTGTGGGGTACCAGAGACCAGTCAGTGGCAGTCTGCTTGCCCAGTTCCTCAGACTGCTGCTAGCATGGGCCATGGGGCTAGCTAGCAGGGGGAAGGCTATTTAGGCTGCCACTGAGGTGGTGTCCTTATCCTGAGCAGAAAGCTGCTGCCCTCTGGTCTTGGTCAAGGAGAAGTATTGCTTCTGCTGGGGTAGGAGTTCCCAAGTGCACCACGTCTGTATGGGGCGAAGGCTGAGGTGGGATTCCTAACGGCTTTGGGAGCAGCAGAACTGGGCTGGGTGTGTGATCTGAAAGTCTGTCACCTCCTCTCCTTCTCTAGAGCCCCTGCTGTATAAGGTGATGGCCTGTGAAGTCACTCTTTGTCTTTGCTTTTGCAGTGGGGAGGTGATGGATGAGTTCTTGAACTGTGCTGTACGAACTAATTGCCCAGATGAGGCAATTAAGCTGGTGAAGCTGGCAGCATCCCTCGGCCTGCCTTCATCTCAAAGGCTTAAAAGCAGGACGGAGAAGGAGTTTGAACTCTCTGAAAAGCAGAAGTAAGTTGGCATTCTTCACATTACTGCTGAAGGGGTGTAGCAGACAGGGTCTTGGAGGGGCAGTTCCTGCAGAAAGGCTTCACCAGAGAACAATGTCTTTGTTTGACTCTGGTCAGTTCACAGCCCCAGAACAACCCCTCAGCTTTTATTCCATTCCCACCTAGGAGGGAAGGTAACATTCCATGATAAGGTTCTACTTCCCTACTGCTCAGATCTGCTATTACTGTTCCTTCCCAGAATCTTCTCCTAGCTGGGTTTGGCCACCTAAAAGCCATTTCAGTCTAGTCAAAGCAGAGCAGTGTACAGGATGGCCCTGCATGTAGCTCACAGCTTCTAAGGCTCCTGGTCAGAGTTCAGTACAGCTGCCCAGCCACTGCAGTTCATTTCTGAACCAGTGCAGCTGAGCTCAGGTGATGGGCTTAGCCTTGAGGGAACCGTTTGGAGACAGTGGTCTGGTCTAAGGGAATGGCTAAACAAGTCCAGCACCCTTGGCAGCTGGCCCAGCACATTCCAGGTGATGGTGGTTTGCTTTTCCAAAAGGAGGTGGGTGCTTTTCCTAATGCAGGGTGGACCTGCCCTTGGAGAACAGCCCATCCCCTTCTCTTCTGGGGGTTTACCCATGTTGTGGATCTCTCTTCTCAAGCAAAAGCCACGAGGAGGTGGCTCATTACTGGACTGTTTTACATCTGCAGGACGACGCTGGGGAGCATCAAGTCAGATGGTGACAGCAGTGACAGTGACAGCGACAGCGACAGTGACCGTGACTAGCTGTCCCTCCCCCGGGGAGCAGCCACTGCCTGGAGCCAGGAGCCTTCTGGGAGGAGCCAACCTGCTGAAGGGCCCAGCGGCTTCTGGGGGCAGCTGCAGCACTGCTCAGCAATGCTCCAGGGCCCCCTCGGCCTGAGCACGTTGTCCTCGTGGAGCAGGCCAGAAGCTGTCCTCTGTAATCTCCTTGTCACTCCAAACACAGCGTGGGTGACGCCAGCACAGCCTCTGCCACAGCACTGCCTGCACAGGCTGGCTCCTGCTGGGCAGCTGCACCCTGAGCAGTCCCAGAGGCTGCTCAGCCAGGTACAAGATATGGACAGCTTGGGCAAGACTTCCCTTGGGACCTCCTGTGACTTTAACCTGCACTGGATTTAATTCCTTTCCAGCTAACTGCAATGAACTACGTAAATGTCAAGTTTACTCTGTATGTAAACACTGCAAGTAATGCAAACCTCATCACCTCTGGTGTCACTCCTCATCCTCTTTGGTATTTTGGGAGGGTTTTTGGGCTGTAGGTGTTAAAACAAAGTACTACAAAAATCTGGCTGTATTCTGCTCACCCCTGAGCAAAACCTGTTGGTTGCAAAGCAGTGCTGCTGCTCTGCCAGAGTGATTGAAGTTCCTGCAGAATACAGCAAGGAAGCTGATGGGGTGGCTGGGAGGTGGGTGGCTGCCCTGCTCCTTCTCTGCCTTGTAGTTAAGTGCCCTCAGCAGTGGGCTGCTGTCACTGCTTGTAGAGGAAGCCAGGAGGGTGGTTTTTGAGGTAGTTACAGTGAACAGGCAGAGGATGGTCCATTCCTGAGGGGATTAAACAGTATTCCAGTGAAAAGCAGCTCACATGATTCTCTGTGAAGAAACCTTGATGTGCACAATGCTGCAGGACAAGTGAGAGCACGATGCTTTGGAAAGCAGCTCAAGGGTAATTCCATAGTGAGCTGGGGAAATACCAGCAGGAGGTAGAACACCTGAAGTGAAGTGTCCTCACAGAGCAGGGGTGAAGCTGGCTGAAGGCAAGGCTGGCTCCAGAGAGCAAGCACACCTCCTCCAGGAGGGTGTGACTAGAGAAATAAGATAAAGAGCTTTCAGAGGTGGTTTATTGTACCAGCGCTGAATCTAGAACTGGCTCTGCAAGGAGACAAAGCCACAGTTCCTCATTTCAGCAAGCTGGATCAATCACTAAGGGTAAGAGAAAGAAGGAAGGAGCTTGGTTGTTATGTGAGTTCTCATGCTTGAACTGAAATCTGGTTCAGGTAGAAATACCTCATCTGCCAAAACAACAGAAGAGCAGCTCTGGCCCCAAGACACATGCAGGGGTGGAAGTCCACCGAGTGTGTGCCCTAACACCAGTCTGTGTCATAAACCTGTACTCGTACATGGACTCTCTTTTACAGCTGTACAAATTAATGAACAGACACATTGGTCACATCAGTGAATTCTTGCTCCCTGAAAGGAGTCAACCAGAGATGAGTTTTGTGGGGGGCTGTTCTTGTGCTGCCCGGCTCTACTTGATGTTTAAGTAGGAGACTGAACAGCAGGAGAAAGCGGTTGAAGTCTTGTTTTATTCAGCTGACCAAGTGGTAAATCGTTAATGGCAGGTCACAAACATTCTTTTGGTTGGATCACAAGCCCGCCCGGTAAGATGGGGAAAAACAAAATTGTTACACAAATTGTAGAGAAGCTTCCTGAAGTTGGTTGTCAGGGCAGTAACTCAAACCCAATACAAATACAACAGGTGGTGGAGTTAAATACAGTGCAAGGAAACAAGACGGTACCTGTGCTTTGATTCAAGACTTCCAGCCCCTGCCAGCAGCTTGCTTTCCAACCCTTAGGAGATCCTGGGATTGTGTCTCCTTCCAGCCCAAATGATTCTGGAGCTGCCTCCCCACGCCCACCTCGCTCACTGCACCTGGGTGGTTCCCAGGCCCACGGCGCTGGCGTAGGCGGTCAAGATCTCCACGATCTGTTTGGTTTCCAGGGTGGTCCGAGCCTCGGTCAGCCAGTCGTGTGCCACCCTGCGGGACTCCCCTCTCAGCTGGTTGACGAACTTGGCCGCCAGCTCCAGGTCTCCGTGCTCGATGCAGTACGAGGCGTACGACAGTAACTTAAACGTGTCGAGGTCATCGGGGCTGAGCTCGGCGGGCGGCTTCTGCTGCTGGGGGTGGAACACGAGCAGCGACTGCAGGTAAGACAGGAAGTACTGG